AAGGTGCAGTCTCTTGGTATTGGCAGGGACAAGTCATAAAACTGTTTTGGTCTCCAACAAAAGCACTGGGTGTCTCTCCTGATCTTGAATGGCTTACACTTTTTTTTAAACTGGAGGCAGCCATTTACTGCCCACATCTTACACCTCCACTCTCAATCTGCTGTGAGTTCACTCAATGCTGTATCCACTTTCCCCTAAGGCTGAAGTTTGCTCATTCTCCCTGCAAGGAGAGGCTTTGTCAGCCCCTCCCCAGCTGGAAACATAAGTTTGAGACTAAAACTTTACTTCCTAACAAAGGAAATACATAGATAGTGGACTTTTGTTATCCAAAATCACCTGTCTGAGTAACTGTATGCTCTATATTTTGGCATACACAGATTGAAGTGTTTCCTAATAGTGAGAGTGTGGTACTTTGAAGAACTTTTTTTTTTCTGTGTTGTGTTCTGGGTTGCTTATTCTGAAATGATACCCTAGAAATATGTGAAGAGAAGACAAAGCAGAGGTACACTTTTATCAAAACCTGCCTAAGTCAATAATTAAAATGACTTCTAGAGCTTCATGTGGCAAATCATAATTTGAATGGTAAGATCATACTTAAATGATTTATTGTGTGAAATCGCTAGTCACATGTAGGCCATTTAATATAAACTAAATACATGAAATAATTGTTTTGCAGGGAGTACAGACATCTTCCCACCCATATGGAAATTATGTGCAACCAACCCCAAATCTCAGATGGCCAAACAGTGTAAAACAGCGAGTAGCAGCATTTGATTTATGGGCAGCTGAGCACTGCAGGCAGCAAGGACTCCTCCTTAGTTTGGCAGCGCCTGTTGTTTTTACTAAAATGACTATTCCTGCAGAGATCTATTACCATCAAAGGATCTGAGCCAATTTCACATACCCATGAGCTTCTCCTTTGGTGCCATTGTCACTTTTAGCAGTTAGAATGTTCTTGCCTCTGTCTGGACATGGGGAAAGTTAATATGCAGTCTGCCAAATCACAAACCACAAACAGTCAACCCCAGGTAAAACATGAAAAATCAAATAGGGCAACATTGGAAAGCTGCTTATTCCACATCTCTTTCGCCACCTAAGTTATCAATAAAAGGAGCTGTGTTTAAATAGGCCAGTCTCAGAGTCTGGGACAGCAAATTACCCAAGGGCTTGTGTGTTTCCACCATCTTCTACTGGTTTTACCTGTAGCTGGGTTTAGGGGTTTTTAGTTTTGGTTTTCCCCAAAAAAATTCTTCACTTGTATAAAGCTGTGTGGTTCCCATTCCAAGAAGTTCTGTTTAACTCATGCAACCTCTGAAGGAATTAAACATGTTTTGCTTCCTGAACAGAAGCCACTAGAATATTAACAGACTGAGGTAGTCTCTCAAGATTTATCTCCTCCTTCCTCCTGGATTTTAAAGAAAATAAATCCCACTTGGTTGAAGTTGATTTTTGCTTTAATGTTTTTAATGACAAATTGAGGACACTGGGCTGGAAGCACAGGGGTTACAGTGCTCAGTTCTCTTCTAAGTTTTGTCAGGGACACATGTTAATTCAAGTAAACTCTGAACCTCCTCTTCCTCCCAAACTCACTCTTTTTTCTATTGAGAAAAATAAGTCTAATGATGCATATGACTTCAGATTCTTACAGTTATTTTAATACTGAAAATAATGCCTCTCACAGAATTGCAAAACATTTTTTCTTGGATTATTACACTTCCTCCTAATTCCTGTAGATCTTATAAATAAGATTTTAAATAATATTTTGAAGCACAATGGCATGTTCAGTGTTTAAACCCCCCCCCCCCCCCCAGAATATATTTGTACTTTCTTCACAATTATCCCATCTGCCAAAATTCAGGCCTTTTGCAAAAATCAGCAAATTGACATCAGTTTATTTATCCTTAGGGACATCAAATTATTACACTGCTTAAGTTCTAAAAATAAATAACTAAAGAGGGTGGAGGGAAGAGATGGAAAACAACAAAAATCTTTCACAAAGTCTCTCTGAATTCTGGAGAATGTGTGATTAGAGCATTAAAATGTCCAAACAATGCAACTGAGCAGAAAGTGTTCGAACTTGGGCCCTTTTAGCTGGCTCTACATTAAGCAGCGCTAATGTTTTTATACAGTCTTTGGAAAGCTCAGAATTGACCTGTTTTTATTATTTTTATTGGCTCCCTTGATGATAGACAAATGGGGCTAACTTGAGGCCAACATAACCAGCAGGAAATTTGGGTCATGGGTAGTTACATTTTTAAAACTTGTGTTCTAGGGCTGTTCAATCAGGGTAATTGATTGATTGTTAGGTGGTGCAGGGAGCCCCTAAATCACTGGAGGTGGCCAGATAATGACTATCTGCCAGTGGATTTTGTTTGAGGCAAATTTCCCAACTCCCCGTGGAGCCATGCTCTGCAGTGAATTTGTGAGTCCCCCTTTTTTTTTTTTTTTCATGCACAGTCCAGTCCAACTGGCCTGTTTGGACAAAATAGCCTCTAAAACTTGGAAGTTCTATTTGAAGTCCTCTGTGGTGCCATTTCCCAAGAGATAAGGGGAGAAACATTCCAGAGAAGTTCATACCCCAGAAAGACCCTACGTGCATTCTGAAGTTAATGGTTTATTACAGCTCTTTAATTTTTTTTCCTCTTTCATTTTTACTTTGAAGATAAGAGGTGGCAATTGTTACTTGAAGTTGTTGAGTTTTAGCCTGTCCTACAGTAAATCACCCTGAAAGTTTAGACATGTTTTTTTTTAAATCATGTATGTTTGAAAGTTTGCCAAAGATGCTGTACATGTGTATTTGCAGGAGCCACGATCCTCAGGCAGGAGCTGCTCATTCTACTGTTCTGTACAGCCATGGGCATCCTCAGTGCTCCATGCCTGTGGCTCATCTGTGCATGCAAAGTACAGCTTTTTCAAGAACTCATCTTGGTGCTGCAGCAGCATGCCATGCACTTAGAGATGGAGTGAAGTAGAGTTTGTGGATTGGGAGGGGAGGAGGGGCATAGATGATGTGCCAGTAGATAGTAGATGATGTTCAATAATACCTGGCATAGGTCTTGCCTCTTCATAAAAATGAATTCAGGTTAATATGGACTTAAGTTTGTCATCTATTCCAGAATAACTCCACACATAGGTTTATCTTGATTTCTTAGATTTTTAGGGCTTATTAGGCTTTTGTTCACTGCAGATGGCTTCCTTATGATAGATGCATACCTCTGAATTCCTTGAAGCTTTGTCTTTATCCATCTTAGGATCTGAAAGAATCTGTACTCCAGATGAGAATTTATTTGTGTCACTTTTTCAGAAGAGAAGAGATAATACTGAATTAAGGCAGGGCTCAGTTGAAATCCATAAATCAAACAGCCTTGTTTTGAGGATGGCCCAGCTACCAGCACTTGCCAGACCAGTGCCAAACACCATAGATTTCCTTCCTGGGTGGAGCAGTGCTTGGACTTACTGTGTATGTGATTTAGCACTCCCTGCCCAAACACAGAGGGTGCCAACCCTTTCTGGATTTCAGAATGTTCCTTCTTAGCTCTCACATGCTTTTGACCACTGCAGCTTTGTAATTTACTGCCTCAAGTCTGCAGTTGCTCTTACTGTTAGGTGTAGTGGATAGTTAGAAAATTCTTCTCCAAGGTATGTATTCAAATGGAAACATGACATCTGACCACACTGAAGTCCCAGGAGAGATGGGTCCATGGCAAAACTTGTATGTCAAGAGCAGGGTGGGGTACAAAAGTCCACTGAAGTGTAGTTTCTTATGGCACAGCCTGGAAAAAAGCTTCTTGGAACTTAAGTAATTCATGCTTTCTTAATGATTGAGATCTGTGGTGGATCAGTGTAGGTATAAAAATGACAGTTTATTAGATGCTTGTTAGTGTTTCTGAGACTGACAAAGAACAACTAAAAATACAACCAGACGCCCTGAAGTCTTGTATGAAGTACACCAGGAGGTAAAGCTTTCAGTGTTTGTGTTCCTAAAGCCCTTGCATGGTTTTGCTGTTGTCTAAACTTGTGTCTCTTCCTAGTATGTTTGATTTCTATTTTATTTACTTATTGTGAATCAATTTAAAGAGCAAATTATTGGCTCTGGTGCCTATTTACCATGACTAGTCTTTGTGAAGTTACTGTAATAACAACCAAGAATAAATGCCTGCAAACTTGACTCCTTGGATTACAAGAGATGTTTCACTTTACACTGTGAACTGACCCACAGGTTGTCACAGGGGGATCTTTTGGGTGATCAGAGAACAAGGGGAGGGGTACTGGTGTTGCAGGAGACCTCCTGGATGGACCTGAGCAATCACTACCACCAGGAGAGAAAGGCTGTTCTTTCCTCCCACACCTCCCTCCCCATCCAAGAGCAGAGTGTTCCTCCTGTTTGCCTTGCAGTGTTCCCACCTCTCACCTGATCCTGCTGCTGAGTTCCCAGCTAAGCCAAAGCAGAAAATGAACATAAACAAGTAGAAGTTTCATCCACAGGTGTTTGTGGGCAGTAGGGTGGCAGTTTGATGGTACAATTAATCATTGGCCTGCTTTGAGTGGCAGAGAACAGCACAATGGATCTAAATGCCAGCCCTGGTGTTGCATGATGTGGATGTCAGCAAGTCAATGGAATCTGGGCTTTGAACCCCCTGCTCATGTACAAAATCAAACCCAAGGATAAAGCCTAAAATTTAGAGGAAATGTTTGACTTTGTACTTTGTACCATTTCTACCCATACCAAGGGATGGATGCTCTCATCCTCTCATTATATTGGTACTTGGAAAGATCTAATATTAAGGCTTTTCAAGTGCTAAAAGGCTGCTATTGTGAATCCCTAAGAAAAAAACTGTAGGCAATTAATAAACTCACTGTCTGAGCAGCAAATAAATCACATCACCATCTGCTGACTACTGAGAGTGTGAGTATTGAATGATGTGCCACAGGAGTATGTCTGATCCTAACTTACAAGCACTATGGAGGCAATCTGACACAACCTTCCTTCTGTTTTTCAGACTATTGGTGAGTCAGAAATGCCCAGTGTTTTGAACCAGTTATTGCCAATGATCAAGTCCTACAACGAAAGGACAAAAGATGATTATGCCTGTGAGGACTTCCTTGTTTTGCTGATATACATATATTCTGTGGTTGGAGAAATCAAAGGTGGAAAAGAGCTCGACATAGCTGAAGAAAAGGTGAAAAGGGCCCTTGTCAAGGCAATTTGTGATGAGCCAGAGCCATCTCCTTTGCTGCAGAAAATTACAGGTAAGTTTCTGCTTTTGTGGTGAGAAACTGGATTCTGGGAACGTGTAAACTGGGAGAAGTGTATAAAATGGCTTGACTTGTCTGTGGTGCTGAGAGTACATGAGTAAGCACAAGGATTTCCTGTAGATTTGTTCCATCTCCTCTGTTCATATATGCCAAATGCTGACAGGCTATCCTTGAAGAGTGCTGAGTCTGATGAAAGCACTACAAGTTGTTCTTTTTGTTAAAGGTTTTCTAAGTTTGTGTGTTTTCATAAGGTAATCTTTTCCACAATTTCTTTCATTGATTGGTGTAAAGTTGACCCTGGGAAGTCAGAATTAATACTGGAAACATGTTCAGTGAACCACAGTTGCTTTGTGAATACGAGGAGCTGGCTTGTCTGGCATAAAAGAAGAAATGTGTCTAAAACCAACATTGAGCATTTTGCTGAAACAACATGAACATTAGCCTTTAAAAATAGCATGGTAAGCCTTTTTTTAGATGAACACTCATAGAATAGGAAAACCCTAACCTCTTGTTGCTGGTATCACATTTTAGGGAAAAAAAAAACCCTGCTAAAAATGTAATTTTAAATGAATGAGCTCAGGGCTGGCCTAGCATGGCAGAGGGGATCTCACTTTCTGCAATCAGTTTTCTCAGTATTTAGTAATATTGAGACGAGGTCATCTTGGAGGTGGGGAGCATATGAACATAAATCAAGATGTTGAGAGGAGCTTACAATTGAAAGCATTTGCCAAGAATGGGCCTAAGTGGGGAGTCTCAAGAGAAGTGGAATAATACTGCTGTTGGTTATTCTGGTACTATTCCCTATGGACACTTCTAATTCAAAATACAGGTGTGGTCTCACTGCTCTGCTGTTGCTTTGAGTGTAAAATACTGTAATAATTAAAGGACTTAGGGTAGGAATGAGGTCACTCAGTCAAATTTGCACTGTGGTGTTATTTTAATACTCCTGGCCACAATGCCCACAGTGTTCCAGGCTTCTTGTAGGCTTTTGCCTTCCTGTTTCTCAATATGTACTGCACAACTTGTCCACCAAATGGTGCTTCCCTCACAACTTCAGTGATGTCTTCTAGTGAACAGGATGTAGTAATTTCTAAATCTCTGTTTTTGTATTTTTCCCTTTCTGCAATAATCAAAGTTTTAAATCACCGTTTTTTCAGTTTCTCTTCATTGTGCTTAATGTAAGTATGTGGATTTAAGTCTCTAAAACTTCAGCCAAGTACCAAAGAGAAGCTGAGAAGAAACCCAGTACAGATAGTTTTAGATCAAGTCCATCATTATTATGTGATGAAATTAAGTGCAATGCAAAGCCAGAGTCTTTGCGTCCTTATATTTCTCTGTCTGTATTTTAGCAAAACCATATCTGTGCAATCTGCACAAGTAGGTGACAGTATTGCATACTTTTTCCATACTCATTGCTTGATACTTTTTTGGTTCTTCACCATTTTTTGGTTTTTCATCTTATTTATTTTGAGTTAGTCATGGGAGAAGGCGAAGAAAAATAGCATCTATTGTCAAAACCAGAAATAAATGTCATGTTGGCAGTGAAGTGTCACATGAAATTTCTAGGAATACTCCATAGGTAGTTTTCAAGCCTTTATTTATCCAACCATTTGCTTTGTCAGTGTTAGTGGAATTTGCTGAATTTGCAATTTGCTGTATTTGCAGTATAGTGGAATTGGGAAGACTTAAAACTTGACCAGGCTTAGACCTATTCCTCCTTGATCTCTGTTTTGCCAGGCTTGTGTTCTACAACCTGCTGCCCTCTGAACCTTAGGTAGCTTCCTTGCTACTTGAGAGGCAAAGCAACTCAGAACTGAAGGACCATCCTCAAACTTTTCTTCAAAGGCACAGCAGGACTGTCTTTGTAGCAGGGCTGAAGGTCAGGGAATAGAGAGCAGTGCTGGTTTCTCCTTTGTGTACAATTGTAGATACAGTGCCAAGACATATTCTGCTACCAGCAGAACATCTATGAACTACAGACTAATTCGTTTTAGGAGATGCGGGCTGGCATAATTTCACAAAGTCAACACAGCTCTGCAAGTTACCAACAGCCACGAGTATGGACAGATCGTGTTCCAGACCTACAGCATTCTGCCCTCACTCTTAACTCAGAAACAAGAAAACCTTTTTTGTTCTTAAGGGGCCACAAAAGTTATAGACTAAAATAAATTTCAATAATGCTTAGAAGTATTGATATGATCATATATATGATCAGAACAAAGTAAAATGCTCATGGTATTTTATTTTCACCTGTCCATCAAGGTAAGTAATAGGAAGAATGTTAAATGGGATAGATCAGGAGAGAAAATTATGCCAGTTTTTTTGTGGTTTTGAGAGACACTGCCTGCTGGCTCATTCCTTACCTCCATGATGAAGTTTCAAACCCTGCTGGCAATCCACGATCGGACAGCTTGAGTTATAGCAAGAGATAGCAAAATTTACTGTTGCCTGTAAAAAAGGCACACAGAAGTAATAGTAGGTAGGCTGCAAATCCAAGCACTTCAAAGTTTGAGAAATGCCAGCAAATAATTTTCCCATGTAACCATCCTTTGACTCCTGTGTGCATTGCAGCACAGTCCTCATTTCAGGATCATATAGTGTATTTTCTATGAGCCATGGCTGCATTCCCTGCATGGACTGAGCACCACAGAGAACTAGAACAATACAGCTTCAGTTATTCTTCACATGAGGAAGAAGTACTAATAAAATATGTGAAACTCTCATGATATTCAGCAAGTAACTTTCTATGGCTCTCAGTTTGCAGTTGATGGAGGGGACTGGTGCTCTCAGTTTTGTGACTCATTTTGGAACTTGAAGCAGAAAGTCAATAAATTACATTTTGAGGTATTAGTGATTACCTACCTGTCTTTGAACAGAGGGGACTTTGTGCTCTGCTTCCCGATACACCTGGTGCCTGATGTTTTTAGCTTGGACCCAACACTGTACTAAGTCTCTGTGGTTGATTTAAATTGAAATTTAAATTAAAACCCATATCTTAGCTGTGGCTCTGAACTGCTGCCTCAGCCTTTTGCTTTCTTCTTTTCTGCAAATCATGGAAGTTGTGCAGTCTTGACAAGCACACATTTTTCTTGGTTTTATTGATTGTTCCCATAGAGTCACTTGAAAATACAAAGCAAAACCTATTAAAAGCTTTAGAAGACTTGTCTTTTGGGATCAAATTATCAGTCAAAGTATTAGTCAGGTTTATATGAGTTACCTTTTATTCCTATTATACTTGTTAAATGTAAACTTAATGATGATTGTGTGACTCCATGCCTATAGGAAATCTCCAGTTATGTGACTGCCTCCCAGAGCTAGTACAAATCTCTCCCAAAAGAGGCAGCCCACAGGTGCACAGGGGATATTTGTGCTATTTGGTGTTACCTAGTGAAACTGGACTAGTATTTGCAGCAGCGCAAAGAAAGCAATTGTCAGAGACAGGGCCTGTCTGTCCCATTGGGCACACTAGGATTCTCTAAGGCACTCTAGGTTACAGCCCTCTGCAGAATACGTTAAAGATGCAGCTCTTGTACAAGTTTATATTGTGTAAGAAGCACAAGCCCTTCCAATTTCCTGGCTGTTGAGTGTTAGGATACTCAATTTGCCTGTTGCCTGAACATATGTTTTCTCAAATATTTGTACAATAGCATTCTGCATTTATGTAACACCTTGTTCCATTGAAGCACTAAAAAAATATCTTGGAACTGTTAAGTAAAATGAAAATGGAGTGCATTAATCACACACTGAGTTTTAAGAAATATGACACTAATTTTTGCATGCATAATAATATAAAAGTACATTAGCAATGTCTTGTTTAATGGAACTGTTAAATAATAAGTGTAGTGCTAGAGTATCCTAATGCCTTGGGTAATAAAACTGAATGTAACAGTTCCAAGATTTCTCCTGGGTGTAATTTATCTCAAACATATGTTCTTCATCACTGATTCCACCAGAATGTTACAAATTGGAGGGGGAAGAGAATAGACCAGAGCATAATGGAAAATGATGCTTTTCCCAGAATGCTAGGTTTGGGAGCTTTAGGGGTGGGGCTTTTTGGCAGCTGTTTGAAAATAAACCCGCTGCAAAATAGCATATTTATTTTATCATTTTATCTGTTCATCTAGTTTTCTAAATGTCTGTGTAGAGCTGTGTGCAAATGCAAACGTCTGCAAAAGTAATGCTAATAGAGCCACAAAGCAATAAAGGTCTATTTTTTCAGCTGTGCCATTCTCTTTTTCATCTACAAGTCTCTGTGGGAGCTTTGTAGAGCAGATCTGCCTTCCATGGTGTGCTCTGAGGACTCCCAGCCCAGCCCCAGCACAGGCAGCTGGCTGTGCTGCCCGTGTGCAGTAACTTTCACCTGATAGGGCTGTATCAGTTGCATCCTCTTGAGCACAGGTGTAATAGGAATAAAATTCTTCTTTTGTGCCAGGAACTGCTGTGAATTTTTAATCACAAGGTGGATTTCTGGACCTTTCTCTTGCTTTTTCTAAATTCTGTGTGTTATATAATTTGGGATGGAAAGCAAACTGAGAAATCTTTAAGTAAAGACCAAAGTGGAAATGCAGAGTTCTTTAATGTCTAGAGTCTTGCATAAAGGAAATACAAGCTGTCTGAAGTCTGTACTGTACCCTTTTTGACCTGTGAAAAATCTAGGGACTGGGAATCATAAGTCTCTTTATCTTTTATTTATCTGGAGATACATCTGAATCTTTGGTTGGGAGGAGAAGTTGGATGCTATTTCTCCATCTTTTCTCATAGATTTGGGTTAAATTTGAAAGAACAGAATAAAGATGATGGGCCAGGGGAGGATTCCTTGCCCATGGCAGAGGGGTTGGAACTAGAGGGTCCCTTCCAATAGAAATCAGTCTGTAATTCTGTGGCTCTGAGATTCTGTGGAGTGTAGGCATTGCCATATTGGATTAGACACTTCTCAACTGATTCTGCTTGTCCTCAGCACATGATTTTTTGGGGAAGATATTTCATATTAATGA